AAGACGCTCCTGGCTGTGGAGCTTGCTGAGACTCAGCCTGCCAGAGGCAAGGAGATGAGGCACCTGCCACTGGCAGAGCAGGAGCCAGCACTCAGTCCCCCTTTAGCCAGCAAGGCCGCTGTTGTGCTTGCATATACAAAACACACCCACTACCAGGAGTCAAAACTGCACAGGACAAACATTTCTCATCTAAAACTACCTGTAATTTAAACAGTTAATCTACCCATTGATATCCTGTTTTATAGGGTATTTCCAAGATAACTACAGTCCTTGGCACATCAAGCAAGGGAGCTAGAAAGAGAATATAGCACTTCTGTGTTTCCCAAGGTTCTTAAGTGTTTAAAAGAATTACAAAAACCACTGCCTGTGCTGAATGTATATTGACGTACACTACATACTACTCATTATTACTCAACACAATGGAAGAGGTAAAACAAACAAAGGAGAAAAGGGAGGAGAAGCAGTATCAGGAAATGCAGAAAGCCAGTAGCCCTAATTCTCCTCTCTTTTATACCAACGTACGTTGGGAGTCCTATCATTCTGTTTCGTTCAATCAAATGACATTTGTCAAGGAATGAAAGAGAATTCAGTCAGGTGACTGAAGAGTGCCTGACTGAGCTGACCCCGAGCTCCACCGCTGGAAATTAAGTAGTTCCTCTCTGCAGTCTAACAAGAACCTGTGGACATTTAAGTCCCTTATGAGATCGGGTGCCAAAGCTGGAAATTCCATTAACGTGTAAACTTGTCGTTCCCTTTTTGATTCTCTGAATCCTGGCGAGGATTACCAGGTCTCCGATTTCAGACTTGTGGCTAAAATCATCATAAGAAAAGAGAAAAATATCAAAGACTCCTGTTTCTTAATGTCCATATAAACAAAATAAAACTTACGTTTGAAACATCTGAAAAGGCATTTCAAATGATTTCTTAGTCATGTGGATTTTATATCCTTTTTTATTAGCAGTGTTTTCATAAAAGCGACTCTTCTGAGAGCCATTTCAAGGACAATGCAATCTCTAAGGATCTCAGAAATTCTTTCTAAGGAAATATCTTTCATGCCGTGTGCACGTTAAGCACTGACAAAAAAGTGACCCACATATCTTACATGCAACAGGAAATACAAATAGTTTTATATAATTGATCCAGAATGATTCAAAAGCGACAGACTACCCTTCTAGGTTTTTAACCATAGCAGCTTACAAACAGATACTTGATCTGTTTCATTTGGTAAATGAAACATGTCCACATCATACATCATTTTCTTCACAATTTACTCAATTTAAAATGAACTCAGAGGAACTATAACTGCTCCCTATTTTTAAACCTGACAAAGTCACTGAAGTTTATCACAAAACAAGATGTAAAAAAGACACTTCATAGTTCTGACAAAGATGTAGTCAGTCCTGTTAATCTTGAATCCCAACTGAACAGTAGACTAATGCATTCAAAACTGTGTCTGTCTTCAAGACAGACAGACAATCCTAGTTTTGTGTTCAACATCTACACACCAAGAGGAACATTTTCCAGTTCCGTTTTAGACACATTATTTCCTCCAAATTTGGAGTTACGCATCTAAAACTTCACATAGCTCTTTGAAAAGTATCCAGATCTTTAATGATCTTTGCATCAAGAAAGAATAATTTAGACATGAACTGCACAAAAACATCATGCTATTATGACTCACATGTGAAACCTATGCTGAAACATATATCCTTTCAATCCGATACGGAGCTATTAACACCAGTTTGGTTTTGAGGACCAGCGCAGTTACTCTGACCTTTCCTTGGTCTTGACAGTCTATTCTTGCTTAGACCACTAGGATAACTTCCCTGGCATCAGAGTATCACACTAGCACGACAACCCAGTACTACAGGAACCACCACCAGAAACTATTTCAGGTCATTATCTTGATGCAGAACTGACTATGCACTGCTACGCAAAAAAGCCATTAGCAGATAATGCTGTTCCAATCAATACATTTCCATATGCATCCGTATATTGTAGCTACTTTACGTGGTAAGATATTACAGAAATTAGTTTTATTAGCTATTTGTTTATTGATGCTGCAAGAAGTAGAAGCCAGCACCCCAGATAAAACAGTAGAGGCTGAAACCTCTTCCCCCACCGGTTTCATCTGAGAAGGTTTCTGTTCCTCTAGGACATAAATGATACTGTCTGAGCAGCTGCAGGTTAGCTGAGAACATACTTGACTGGCAAAAACCCAAACTGGGAAGACGGACTATTTCTACTGAGAAACAGAGCTGCTAAAGGAGCACTGAACAAAAAGAAAATCAGCATGAGATTCAAACCACAGTTCAAGCAACTGAAAAAGTTTCTATTAAACAACACCCTTTTCCCCAAATATTTTTAGTGTAGTATCTCCTAGGCATAACAATTCACTGGCCATTGCTGGCAGCAGTATCTTTGCTGTAACATTATTCTCTTTCTCTCCTTTTTAGAATGTTACTCATGGTTTACACACAGATCTTTCACCTGTCAAGCAACCTTTACCTGCATCATTTTTACACAGTGAGAGGCAGTGAAATATGGAAAGACTTTGAAAAGAGAATCCTTGCCGTGTAATTTTAGAGACGCCGAATAGAAATACCATTTTTTTTCTTCCCTTGTTCTACTTCCCAGGCAGAATCCCAAGGTCTGAAAATTCTCTCAGGGTGCACATGTGGCATTTACCCTACCACTAGTCAGCCTCAATCTGTGCCCTGCCAGATATATCTTTCCAACAGCTGGTATTACTTGAGCGCATACATGAGTTAGAACAGTCAGCGGGAACGTCACAGGAAGAAAACTATCTATTTATCCTTATCCTGGGTCAAATGTAAGTAGTATCTGCCTAACTTTACCTACTTGACATATCTTCTAGCCCACCGAAGTCTGAATTCAAGGTAGTCTGTGACAAAAGGGACCTCTATAAATTGTTCTTACAGGACACTCGAAATTTGGTGGGACTTGCCCTTTGGTGATAACTTTCTGTAGCTCTGATTTCATAATTTTTTCCTTCTGTAAATAAATTTTAAAAATTAAAAATTAAAAAATGAGGAAGCACAACAAGCCTGAGAGTCATAGATAACTTTGATGCTGCAAACAAGAGAAGTTTCTTCCCATTTAAGGAACAAGACCTTCATCTGTAGAGATTACCTCTAACGATGACAGAATGAGATACAGATTCCATACCTTTTTAATTTTTGACCCCACTGTTCAAATTACTAGGGCATTTGCTGCCAAAGAATTAGACTGAGACATCCAAATTAATCTGATCTGCACTACCGTAAAGCCACCAAACGGGTGCTTTCATTATTATTGCAGTCTCCCTTCTTAGCTTCTGCTTCACACAGTCAAGACTATATATGTAGATTTCATTTTCCCCCTCAAGAGGAGTCAAACCGTAACCAGATGCACTGTTTGGGTACAGCCAAGTTAAGAGGTTGCCCTCTTTTAACTGCCTGTCTTTGCAGGGACTCCCTTCACATTTTCCGGATCCCCTTCAGCCTCGCTGACACAATGGCATCCATGCTCACTCCCTAACCCGGTTCTGTCAAAATGTTTTGGTTAAGTTTAAGAACTGGCTATTAAAAGTGTTTAAGCTAGCCTAGGTCATTTTGACAGAACCAGGCTAGGCAGCAACTATACGTGCTGTTATGCTGGCAGAGCTCAGGAGGCAGTAAATTACAAAGAGTGAGAAAGAGGAAAGGTGGCATGGAAGGGGAACCCAGACCACCTGCAGCCAAACAATGCATCTGACTGCAATTCAATAATGCATTAATTCCTGGGCTTCTGCTATGCTACTCATAGTTGCCCAAATTTGACCAAGCTACTAAAAATAAGTTTTTGTCGTTGTCCAGCTTCATGAAAGTTTCTATAGAGTACAGCACCCAGTAGGTCATTTGCACTGCTCTAAGTGGGTAACAGGTTGAAATTCCATTTTGTGGGGTTTTTTTTTCCAGCTCTGCCTCCATCTCCTGATTGAAAGCAAGGAGTTGAGATTTTTCTCCAATGATGTGTGGGGAACAGTCCTCGAGGGTCAAGCCCTGATGCTAAAGTCTGCATGCGCTTACAAACTTCATGAAGGCTGAATACGAAAGGTCTAAGTCAGGTTGCATATTCTAGAGCTGAACTGAAGCCTCATATTGTTTGAGCACATTAGAAACTGGTCCAGTGAAAATTAGGAAGAGTCTTCTGGGAGAGGAAATGTTGCCATTTGGCTCTCTCAACGAGTAGCTGGTTTGGATGAGTAGAGCTCAGGGAAGTTAACAACCACTACTGGAAGGAAGCAAGCAGGACAGGACAGAGCAGAGCTGAGAGAAAGGCTGCTGGGGAGAGCTGCTCTATAAGCCAGGTAGGGGCTGGCTTCCATAACCAAAAGAAAGCAGAGAGCAAGAGAAAAGCCTTTTGTAATGCTCCACAGTGAGCCAGTTGAAAAGCCAGCTCTTTCACCCAGCATGCTCCCCTCACCTGTTTCATGCCTGCTACTCGTACATGGCTCTGGAATTGGAGGCAAGAGCTGGAAAACAAAAAAAATTACAATCCAAAAATACATTTTTCTACTCTAAAAACAAAATACTGAAGCTCTTGGAGTACTAAACTGTGGAAATAGTCTCCTCATAAGAAGTATTTCAATTCCACCACTTTCATGAAGGCCAGAGACCTCTTCGGTATCACCAAACTCCTACGCTCCTGTATAAAAGTTTTAAGCAATTTATGTTCAGAGAGATTTGGTCTGTTGGAGTAACTAAGGAGAAGAAAGGGCAGAATCATACTTGCAAAATCCCTAAGGACCAGGGATCCCTAAAGACTAGCCTCACACAAGAAAAAATTACTGCTTGAAGACTAAGTAAGACCTGCAGTGAGGTTCAGCCAGCCAGAACTTGAAACTGCTATAGCTCCACTGAGTTCAACAGGACTCGCTGCAAGATGTTGCCCTTTCTCAGTCTCACTGGAGGTGTGGGGAATAAAAAGAACATTTTAAAGAACATGAATCACCTTACCACTTCTGGAAGCACCTTCTTCGCAAGATCATGGATGGCTTTGATCACAATACATATAGATGACAGCAGAAATATGACACCCAAGATCACACAAGCGCTAGGAAAAAAGAAAAAAAAAGAAAAAGAAGCATTAAGAACATATCTGAAGCTGTCAACTCTCCCACCGCTGATGGATAACACACAACAGAACTTTAATGATAAAAAAATCTTAAGGAGATAAAGACAAGGACTTGAGATAAGACAACGAAGAGAAATTTCCTGTTCCTTTCCATTTCTTAACACCTGGACTGTAAGTGAAAAGGCAGGACAGACCACATGGATATTTCCAGGTGAGAGTGACAGAGAAAGACATGCCTCTTCTGCTCCTGATGACATACCAGTCTTCCAGAGGACTGGTACTCTATTTTGTTTTTGTTTGTTTGTTCATTTTGCTAGGGCCTGGCATTAGACATAATCAAGGGAACTTCATTCTCTTTACTGAGCCAGGGCAGATGTTTGGTAAATCTGAATAGTAATATAAGAGAATGTGAAGCCTCTGTTTCCTCCCCAGATCTCCAATAAAAAGAAGATTTTGAATGCAGTCAGTATAAAAATCCAGCAGATTACATGCACCCATTTATAGGCTGTCCAAGGGTCTCACAATACCTGAAGGACACAAATAAGGATCAGAGTCTCATCATATTAAGAACTGTGCAGAATTAGACTCCTTGTCCCTGCCCCACAGAGCTTACAATCTAGAAGCTCTTACAAAAAACAAACAAAAAAGCAAATAAACGGGTAGGTGAAGGGAAGATGAAGTAACAGAGAATCTTACCCATGTTTTGCATGGGAAAGAGGTAAAAGAGTGTGCTTGTAAAGCTCACAATGCATACTCAGAACTTCGTAGTGAAAGAAAAACTTCTGGTTTTGATTCAAACACACAGACTGCTCCTACTTTGAGATGGAGTTCCTCTTGCTGTCAAGTAGTACAGGATAGAAGGCTTTGATTTCTTCTACACAAACAAGAATAGCGAGTCTAGTACAGTATTGATATACCTATAACTCCATTTTACTAATAATAAATAGCACTTCATATAAAAATTCTACCAGTAAATACCAAAATGTATTGTCAACAGAAATACAGTAAGAGCATTTTTAGTGTTTAAAGCATAAATATTTAAGAAGTTATTTCTATAAATATATTTTCTCTTCAAAAGTTACATTTTCTTTGTTTGGCATTCATCATCCGGTACCTATCTGTTAGCTCAGTCTAAGGATGCTATAATTATCCAGTAGCATGCTACTATTTTTAACAATTCAGACATCAGGCCATCTGGTGGTTGGCAGTACATGTAACGCTCACATCGAGCTCAGTCTAGGGACTGCAGTCGGATTGGCATTACTCTGCCTAGGTCGAAAGATGCAGCTGAAGCAGTGGTGCAGGTGAGCACTGGGTCATTTCATTCATCAGCACAACCAACATGAAAACGCACTGTGGAAAATTTACCTAATCCCACAGGCAAGTTCTAAGTAAAGAGGCTGCCCTTACACCGAGAAGTGCAGACAGCGTGGAGGCTAGCACCCTTCTCAGCGCCGGCGTGAGCGAGGTACTCCTTGCCTGTAGGCAAATGGCAGCAGCCCTTCATCTTGTCAAACATAACCTGCTGTGAAAGGTAGGCAGAAAAGGCTCGAAATAGTCTAGTTATCCTTGAGTCCTACCCCTAGACTCAAACACAAGAACAAAAATCGGGCCCATAACCTGCGGGTAGAGGGAAGACTCTCTGCACAATCCTTTGAGGTAGACTCTGTTGCAACGACTGTTATACCTTTTTTGGATAAGGAAGCAGAAACGTGTACCAAAAATTCTACACATTTACCTGGAACAAATGCAAGAGTTATGTAATTTGAACACAGACTTGGCACACAGATGTTGGCTGAGTTGCCGAAGGCCACTTGCTGAGCCAGTGACAGGTAGAAAAAAAGATATATACACTTCATGGAAGAATATGCTGACATTTCTTTTAAAATTGACACTGAAAAAAAAAACTTTTGCTACCATTCTCAGGTAGCTTAAACCAAGCAGACCATAAGTTCATGTGTTGGAAAGCACAGACTAAACTTCCTTGTGTCAATACATATTGTTTAATGCCAAGGGCATGGGGAAGAGAAAACAGTGAAACACCATCGCCTTCCCTTATCATGTCTTCTCTTTCCTTTATATATCGTCTGAGGAAGATAGGTGAACTTTCCTTTCAGGCACTTGCCCTGACCATTGCCTGGATACAGTTTTCCAGGCAGTTTGGACAGTTTGGGGTTAGCCTGATCCCTGCAAACCCTCCTTCCACCCAAGCAGAACAGCACATGTCTTGCACCTTTGCTTATGCCAGCAGACAAATAATGACTTCAGCCGTCTTGAGCTGCTTATGCTATTCTTCAGAACAGCTTTTACTGTGTCAAAAGAATTCCCATACACCTACTTAACCTGAAACAGCTAAAAGAAGAAAGAAAAAAGGAAGAAGTTAATAATACAGTGACAGGAGTATTAATAGCAGAGAGAAATGCAGTCTGAGGCTTGAATCAGCATTGAGTCATCATATCAGCAAGCGTAGCATCTCCTTTATACATTGGCTTTTGGAGTCTGCAGCCATACAAAATTCACGAGAAATGGCATAGTACTGTAACAGCTAAAATATATGTTTCCTCTTTTTGTGAGTAAGCCGACTTATCTGTAATACCACTAGAAAAAAAAATACTGCATAGTGTCTTCTTTTAACCTTGTCTGCCAGAAAAATACATTCTATCTAGACTGCAAACCATGCAAAACTCAACTAACAATGTGCGAAATAAGTAACCTCCAAAAATCAATCTTAACTTTTAACTGCAGCACATAATAACCAAATTGCAATTGGTTATTGCAACCTTGCTTTATTTTCAAGCCATTAGACAACAAAAACTTTATACAAGCCTGCTAACTGCCATCTGCTAACAATTACTCAACTACTTTGCAACTAAATAAAACGTTTCCAGCTGCAAATGAAGGGCGTCAGTGCCAGCGTTTTAGGCAAATGCAACTTCATTAATAACATTCTATTAAATTGGATGAGCCAACTGCCATTTCTAGACAGGTTGAAGTTAACTCAGAATTGCCTATAAAAATTAATGAAAGAGGAGCTATACAGAAGTGAGGTTTGACTGGAAATCTAGTGATGATTTTCCAGAAAGCACTGGCTTGGAATCACCAGAGCAAACTAAATAACATACTCTGCAACCTCTAGGGCACCCATGTTCACTGAGAGCAATTCACACACACTGGAGTCACTGGTGGCATGCAAAATACCCTCCTATTTCAGACCACTGGTATCTTCTTGCGAGGACATGTGGATACTCTCTGTTCAGTGACACCCATGATGCACAGATCTCCACCTACCTCACTATCGGTATCATTCACACCTCCTAGCATCTACGGGAAATTGTGTTCTCAGTTTCTGGCTGCTGTTTATCAAGTAAGATTTTCTACAAGGTCACGTCTTGCTGGCAGTATTAGATCAGCTCGACTCTATCCTAGCTCAGGTTTACCAACGTGGAGAAGACTCATGCCAGTAAGGGGACTGGCCGTCAAAATCCCTTCTCTCCGCGCACCGTCTGGAGGAAAGCACAAACACAGGGCTGTGCACCAGGCGCTGCTCCCTCGGGCCCTGCTGCCTGCAAACTCTCCACCTCGTGGCTCCTGCCCGGCCTGCTGTTCGCGGCACGCAGGCCCGGTGCTGGGGCGACAAGGGCGGGCGGGAAGGATGGGCACGACTCTGCCCGGCAAGGCAGCAGCTCCCCCTGCACCCGCCAAGCCTTTCCAGGGGATGCCCCACACACATTTAAAAGCCTTCGCTCCCCTAGCTCCCTGCCTAAGCCTCTCTTCTGCCTCTACGCTCCGTCACAGATACGACTTTATGACAACTTCACTCCTGAAAGAAGTTTTTAACCTAGCCCGCCCATAGTTAGCAGAAGTCTCCCTTCCCGAAGAATGAGGAGAACGGGGCAGAAATACAGGCCTGCTCAGAGGGCGCTGACACGAGAGAACGATGGCATGTTTCTGTTGTCGTATGTAAGCAAACCATCAGTTCAATACATTTCTGTTTTTCTTACCATATTTCCTGTATTCGTATGTATTATATAAAGAAGTTAACGCATAAAATTAAGAAATACATTCAAGATAAAAGCACATATTGGAAAGATTATTATTTAATGACCTACATTACCAACATATATGCATGAAATGCACCTGCAGTTCATCACATAGAATTACAATCTGTAATCTATGAAATGAATTTCTATTACTTCTTATAGAATTGGTCCTTTCTAAGTGTAGCGTCACAACAACATCAGTACGTAACTCTGCTCCTACTTAGCTGTAGAAATTATTGGAAGGGCAAAAATAAGACTGAAATTCTGCTTTTAACAGCCTACGTTGTCCTTCGGTCTTTCAGGTATCTTCAAATCAAACATGACTAAATGTCATATACACAAATTATCACACTAGCATATAATAAATGCATTAAGCCATTTATAATGATGGCAAAGCACTGCTACTTAGGTCTTACCCCGTGGATTTTACATGGCATGCTCCAGTTGTTTACAAAATAATACTCTTTTATTTAGGCTGACAATCTTGCACATCACCTTGACATAACTATACTTTTTTGTTGCTTTTTGAAGAGAAGCTGCAGTATTACAAAACATCCAACTGCCACCTCATCTTCCTTAAAACATTCCCTGTACCAAGCTCTAATTGACACAATTCTTCATTTTGATGATAAATTCTCACATTTAATATGGTAACTACAAAAGGAAATCCATCACCATAGGCCCCAGATAGTCTTTCCCTGTATTAACAATTTGCTATTGTGCATATGTTAATGGCTTCTAAACAGGTAGCTTCAAAAAATACTACGATTCAGCATTTTCCATCTCTACAAACTGTGAAGTTTTGAGCTACCATTAGTAAGTCAGCAAAAACTTTTTCCTTTTTATTACAAAATTAATTTCCTACGAAAAGATGCAACTATTCAAGTCGTTTGCATTGAGCAGACACAGCAAAACAGCCTTCTAATTTGTGGATTTACC